ATTTTATTTATTATATTATTATATTTCAGCCTTTATTAAACCCCACAGACACATTTCCTCCAGTGAGCACAGAGCGGTGACATGTTTTTGCAGTGTGTTGGAGCAGAAAGTAATCAATCACTCCTAGAGTGATTAATAGAACGTCAGAGCTGTTTCTTATGGAGCCTGTATGTTCACCTGCTGCTGGGAACTGGTCCACATACAAGCGCTGCATTCACAGGCTGTCTGTCAGAGAGAAACCCAACTACAACCTCTTTATACCATTAATACACAGGTGCATTGTGGGAGAGTCTGTCTTTAGTGGACTCCAAACAAGAATCAAACTCAATGTTCAAACACTCTGTTAACAGTTTTAATGATAGTTTTAGAAATTGGCCAACTTCTTCCTTTCCTCAGGAAGATATGCTATGCTAGGCTAATCTATGCTGGAAAGACAACCACATTTTAAAAATGGTTCAAAGATTAGAGAGACATACATATAGTCACATCTTAAGTTAGCTAATATTAGCAAAATGCTAGTTAACAAGCTAGCTAATCTACATTAATCATTTGCTGGGTATTTAGTTGGTTAGTTAGCTAATCTACTTAAAATTAATTAACTGTTGACTAGGTAGTAATCTAGTTAGCTAGTGTTTAATTTAAGATGTGACTGAGGATTACTCAACTGTGATTGGAGCACAGAGCAGAGAGGGGGGGGGGCTTAGGAAGGGTTGCTTTGATTAATCTGTTTAATCACAGTGTCTATATGAAGTCTAATTTTGAAAGGTTTCATGTTTTATTCTTTTAAATTAGATTTTTTGACATTTAAGGGTCTTTTTGGTCAAAAAATCTGCTTTAATACTATTTTGATTCAATGTTGCACAGTCCTGGCTCTCCATTGGCTCCCTGTTTGTTTTAGAACTGATTGATGTGATTGATTAGATTGAATTACTGATCACTTTTAAAGCACTTCTCGGTCTGGCTCCAAGCTACAGAGCAGACATTTTGACCACTTGCTTTTATTTTTATATATTTAATTACATTTGAATGTAATGTCTTTATTTCTCTCTGGCTGTTGTTGTATCTAACCAGTGTCCAGTGCTGTTAAAGCTGCTATTTAAATAAAGTCTTTATTATAATTACTTTCCAGTCTGACCTGGGTGTTCCACATTCAGCTGTGCTGGCGCCCCCCATTGGTGAGATTATAGAAGACACAGTGGTTCACAACAATCTGAAGTTGTTATAGTTTTATATTTTTCATTAGTTGTTGATCTTCAGTTTACTTTTTATTGTTTAAAAATGTTTAGTTTTATTATAATATGGAGGTTATTAGTCACAGTAGGTTGGATTATAACACAATGAACAGATGCACCAACAGCAAAGAAAAATATTTCCTCTATATTTCTGTTTTATTTCAGCACATTATTATTTCAGTTAGTTTTTAAGTATAGTTTATTTTCCCTCATTGTTTTAGTTGTAGTTCACTTTATTAACCCTGCAGTTCAGGCTGTATAAATGTAAACCTGAACCAGACTTCACTGTGATTTTGTCACATTTTGTCACCAGAAACATTTCAAACAAATCAGAAAATAATCTCATACAAACATTAAAACGGATCAATGAGTCTCTGATTCTGGTCTGTAGCAGGGGCGGATCTAGAGTTTGGTGTCTACTGTAACACATTTATTGTTTAAATTGAACAGATGTAATGGTGTTTGCAGACAGTGTGTGTGAGGAAACTTTCACTGCATCTCTGCTGTGTGTGAGTGTGTGTTTCTGTCTGAGGAGTCTGACCGTTGTCGATGAGGTACTTGAGGATCTCTTTGCTGCCGGCCTCCACGGCGTGATGCAGCAGTGTGCAGCCGGCTGCGTCCTGCAGCAGGAGGTCCGCCCCCTGTTGGTGGAGCTCTGTCAGCTGCAGACAGACAGGTTCACGTCAGACTTCAGTTTCAGTTCCAGGGTTTTAAATAAAGACAGAATAAAGACATAATCTGCAGTAATTCACAGCCTCACCCTGTTCAGGTCTTCAGTCTTAATGCAGTTGATCAACTCTGCATCTGAAAAACAGGAAATAAAACTTAAAACTGACAGAAAACAGCAGAAACAACAGTTTCACCTGGGTTGATTGATCCTGAGCTGTCAATCAAAGAGGAGGAAGGAAGAGAAGCTTCTACTTTTACTCTCCACATTTTTACACAAAGATCTTTAGACTCTATATACAGGGCAGCCTGGTGTTATCACGTGTTACTGACATTGATGGTCGCACAACCCCAGCATGCTGTTACTCTACTGAGGAATAAAGCTGTCTGTATGTAGTCTGTCATTAATCTGAGAGGACAGACTGATACTGACTGGTTTTTGTTTCCAGTGAGGTATTGTTGACTTTATATACTTTACAGTGACTTTACTGCTCTAGAAATAATATCTAGTTAATATATTTAATATAGAAATAAATTGTAGTCCAGTTCAGGACATTTAGTTTGTTTGAGTGTGATAATGTGAGAAACTACAACCTGGGTGGGTTTTAGAATAAATATTGTAGGATAATAATCTGAAATTGTGTGATAAGTTTATGTGTCATAAGCACATGACTCCTCAAGTATATAAATAAAAGGAGACTCGACCCTGATTGAAGCAGTTAGCTTAGCACAGACAGTCAATAGAAATGAGAAACTACTTTTATACTCTGAGTATATTTCAGAGCAAGTACTTCTACTTTTACTGGAGTATTTATTTACACAAATATCAGAACCTTTAAAAACAGGCTTGTTACTTGTCATGTTAGGAATTGTTAAAATGTGATATTTCTTAAAGGGAGTTTGGTGCAGGGAGCTTTTAGTTATTCAAAACTTGCTGATACTGGATCAATTGGTAAACGTTTAGTCCTCCACTACAGAAACACTAGCTGGGACTGGATAAAGGCCTGATCAGGTTGTCTTGATGGTATTGGGAGTATTGATTACTGATCAGGCTGAGCAAGATCATTATCAGCTAATTGTACTCAGTTTCTAACAGCAGTGTAAATGGCTGCCCTTTGTGTGCCTGTTTTTAAACAATTTAAACAATGTTATTAATAATACTTTTATTAATTAACCTCCACTGATTAGTGTCGGACTGTAACAATCACTATTATTCAACAGTAAGAACAGAAGGAACTTTTACCTTTTTCAGGGTCGTGTGAGGTAGCACTGGAAGGACTGTTAGAGAAAAACAAAACGTTAAAGATGAACACGAAGCATTAAAACACACACACACATACACACACATACACACACACACACACACACAGGATGGAGTCGTACCTAATGATGGGTCTGAAATCAGCGAGCGTTGTATTGGAGCGATGGACATTGAGAATCTTTGCCCCCCTCCTTCAGACGCACAGAGACATTGAGGACAACATGGACAGGTTGAGTGGCAGCACTAGCACATGGTACCAGTATGACAGTAATACTTATGTACTCATGTACAGTATGTACAGTATGTGGTACCATGAAGTATTTCAAAGCTGACAGTCAGAAAACCAGAGCACAAACAGACACACACATATATACAGTATGCACTTATATACTCATACTGTAAGTACATACTCTATATATAAGTATGTACTCTATATATAAGTACTCATATATGTGTACACATGATGACAGGACAAACAAAGACTTCAAAATAAGTTCCTGTTTGAGTGTAAGTACAAGTATTGTACCTAACTAGGGGTACTTTACTCAAGTATTTCCAATTTATGCCTTGTATCTACAGTACTGACCTCTGCACTGTATCTACAGTACTGACCTCTGAAACGTAGGTATTATTGTCAAACAGGCTCAATCAAATCTTTATTCAACTTGAATTTAAATCACAGTTTATGTGTTTGTGTTTATAATGAGTTGTATAAATAAAGCAATTTTAGATGTTTGCTACTGTATTTTTTTTATATCACTTTTAAAAACTGTAAATGTTTTATTTAAGATTGCTGACTTTTGCCAATTGTTTTTTATGTATGTTCTAGTATGTGTGTTACCTGCAGAGGGCAGACTTAGAGGAACTCTGGGATAAAGCATCAGCAACCGAACTGTCGCTGGAAATCCTCTTCCTCTGGAAGTCTCTCACCCTAAAATAATAACAACAATAACAACAATAACATTTATTCATAGAGGCCGTTTAAAATCTACATAAAAACTGCGTTCCACAAAAAAAAATACAATTAATGAAATTAAGTTTTAAAAGAACATTTCAACCAGATAAAACAAGAAAACTACCATGGATGAAAGTTATCACTTTTACTGCTACAATTATCAATATTATTATCAGTTATATATCTTTCTCAACCCAACTGATAAATTCATTGATTATGAATTAATTAATTAAATTATTGCTTTCATTGTTTCTAGTCAGCTCTATCTCAGTTTCAGAGGGGGAAATTATTACTTTTTAATTTAATTTTATTAGAAAAACAAGAAAACATTTAAGGAAATAGAAGACAGTTCAAGAAAATTAGAACTGAAGTAAAATCAGAGGAAAGCTTCTCCCAGATCGACAGTTTGCAGACAGACGTTTTCTGACAGTGAATGAGGACGCAGCAGTCGTCCAGTCTGTGACCCAGAAAACAAAAACCCACAAACGGGGACAAGACCAGCAGCTCCATGGAAACAGCATCTGATCTCAGCCCAGCTGATCTCAGACCAGCTGCCACCTTCATCCTCCTCCTCATTCATTCAGACTGAATCACATCAGCCGCTGCAGGACCTCCCTCATCCAGCAGGAGGCGCTCAGCCCACACTGAACAAATGACACTGAGGTTCCCAACACATACTGGTTTACTGGTTTACTGGATAAAGAAATAAACCCGAATATTTAAGAATTAAGAAATGTATTAATTAAAAATAGGTAAAAAGTTAATTTTCCCTGTGAGTCTGTTTCCAGCTGGTATCAGCCTGCGTATTAGTGATCTGATCAGCTCTAAATACAGTGTGAACGACCACAGACACACATTGTGATCAGAACTCAAACCACTTCCAGAGGTGGTCTGGGACTCATTAGACCACATATGTTTTGTAGTGTGGACTGTAATGAGTCCTGGTCCTGATTGAAGGACCGCCTGACATCCCGTAAGAACACAGAAACTGTCTGATTGGATCATATTTGAGTTCTACTACCTGCAGAGATCAGCAGCACTTTGTGAACACACAAGTCTGTTTTACTAGTAACCACAATATCACCAGACTCCATCCAAAAATCACACAATTTTAGAGTTACTGAGTGAGGAGAGACTTTATAAACTTTGTTAAACTTTATCTACAGCAGGTTGTTCATTATTTGGGCCTTCTTGTAAATTTGGGGAACGTTCTACATGAAGTCATTTCTGGAGTTATTTCCAGCGTGGTGGTTAGACGGCGGTCCAACCTCCTCTACTGCGTCCACTGTGAGA